AGGGCAACGCGGTGACCCGAAGATAGGAAGTTGCCGATCCATGCTCTAAGTCATAATCCCAAGTTCATTTAAGAATAAACCCACGATCATTGTACACACGTTCTCTAAGCTTCTCTTGTTAAAAAAATTATTCTATGGCCAAATAAGCTTTGGCAGTCTAGAAGACTTCTACTTAACCCGTGCTAAATTTAACCAATAACCTAAGTAGAAATGAGAACACGTAATACGACAAAAATTAACTGAAACACATTTATATTTTTGCGGATATTGACTACACAGGGGGAACTAACTCTTCTACATATGGAAATATTTCGCCAGTATTAGTGCACAGATTAGGGTACTTCTTACTCCTCGTTGCTCCCCAATAGTCGCATTCGGACGCCGAATCAGTCGGATGTACTTTGTAAATGACTTGACTACCTTTATTTTCAAAATCCAGAGCGCAAGCTACAAAGTATACATAAGGAATAATTGGACCTGTGGGGCTATGTAAAGATAGAAAGAAAAGACATTTTCAAAACTACTCTACTACTGTATTCTCTTACCGTTCAGTTCCGTTTAAGCCCACGGCTGCCGAGCAGCCTATGCGAGACATTCGTTCTTGTATCGTAGTTATAAACGCGTCAGCTTTCGAATTCCTCATGCTACTCATATCTCATTGTTAGTACTTTTCATATTGAAATGTGTTGAAATCTAAACTTACGCAGTTCCGTAACTTTGCACTTCTTTTGTATTGGATATGCCATCCATGTTTTTGGTATATGCCAATAAGGTCAAATCTACTATTTTGAAAAAGGGTAGCTTGTATTTTTGAGGGGACGTGAACTAACAATGCGAAAGGCAGGAAAATGAGATTTTTTCAAGAATTCAAGAATGTCTCTTACCAGTTTTGTGTAAACAAAATTTAAACGTTGCGATCCAATGCAATCCAATTTTGATTCTTTTCCCGCCCTTACCCACGTTTGCATCATAAACTCGAGTTCATTATCCCATATTACTTCGCGCATACGTGCCGCAATGGGAAACGTTTGACCGTTACTAAGAGTATATGTTCCGCTGGATATGTTATTGCGAAGACTATTAAAAAATTCCAGGAAATATCTCTTAATTTTTCTAGTCATTGGCGGAGCTTTTACTTCGACCGTTACCCATCTGCCCTATTTTTACATATTATGTATAGGTTCCATGGACAAATTCATTATTTAAAAAAATACTCACAGCTTGTGCTTGGATCTCTCCGCACATGAAATGTGATTTACCCGCTCTGCAAACTTTCTCTCCGATCTCCGGCTTATTACAAAATTCCCAAGCTTCGAGCATCAAAATTGTGCTGACACCGAAAAAAATAAGAATTCTTTCCATAAGTTTCGACATTGTCACGATAACGATGAGGCTCAGAATGAAATTGAAATGAAAAATGAGTCGTCAATGTCAATGTCAACAGCACTGAAAGGTACGCAATGCCAAATACGTTATGTGTAATAAAAATTTTTATTAGCGCAAGTACTTTTTGCAAATTTGACATTTTTTATCATTGCCTTCTCTGATTTTACATATTCAACTATTTTCACGATTGTTGCTAGAGTGCTTTGATCACGAATATAATCGTAATATATATTGAGTAAAATGCTTAAAGCTATGTGAGTAGGAATTACTTCCTTTTTTTTTTTTTTGTTGCTACATTTCTTTTTATGCTCGATAACACTAGAGTTACAAGGTGTTTTAAGTAAGCGCGGATGTATGTAACACTCAGAAGGGCTTAAGATCAATTCGCGTTTTTTATTATATCATCATTATCTGAGCTGACTTGATTTAAGCATGTCTGTCTGTCTATCTTTCTGTCCCTATGATTTCGAATGAAAGGAGCTTCAACACGCAAGAAAATTATATTCGGACGTATCCTAAAATAAGACAAAAAAAAAAGGAAAAATACCGAATTTTCATACTCTATAACTTTGGCTGGGCGCGTCTCTTTTCATAATAAAAGTGGACATTTATATGATGTATGTATGATGTGTGTGCTGTGAACTTAATAATTCGTTTAAGCTATCATTCTTATAATTTGCTACCTATGCGGTAAGTGAATGAAAATATTTAAGTATGTATTCGATCAAGTTATGAATATATTTACATATCCATAACCGGTGACTGTGTGTCTTCATTATAAGTATATAAAATCGAAAATAATGGACAACGTATTAGAATAAATTATATAATTTTTAAAAATGAGCAGTTGTGTGTTGACTGACCTTAGAATGTTACGAGGTATTGATTTTGTTCATTCGAATTGTTTTCCATAGAAGGCTGATCCCCGTATTGTTGTGTACAGTAGCTTCGACGAGTTAGCGATCGTTGACATTAAAGATAGACGGACACAATCGTTTACACAACACGACACTATCTAGATTGAGATCATACGGCAACATATAATCAAAAAAAAAAAAATGAAATTTACTGTGAAACATGTCTGTACACAATTCCATCTTCTCATCATCGTCATCGTTCTCGTCATCGTCATCATCATCGTCATCTGCTGATCTCTTGGCTTTCTATAGTTGAAGTGAATAAAAAATCATTTACGCTTTAATCAATTGTTTTTCAAGCAATTTACGTCTTTCTTGTTCTTGTTCTTGTTATTGTTGTTGTTATTATTATTTTTCGATATTATATTAAGGATATATTTAAGAAGTGTGCATATATACATATATATATATGTATACCTACATGCCTTTGTATACACGCATATATATTTATATATATATATATATATATATATATGTATGTATGTATAGTTATGTGGTTGTTTTAGCCAAACTTATTTTGGGTAGATATTACTGAAGTACACTTATTTATGTTGCCTTAAGCATAAAAATTTATACGCATACACTTTCATTATGAATTTCATTTTCAGTTTTGCTAGCGAAAGACGCGCACATGTCAAAAAATTTTTAAGAAAATTCGATCATCGAAAAATTTTAATTGATCGCCCTGCAGTTATGCTGAAATTGATCTTTAGCATTGTGAGTAAAATCCTTGCCTTATGCTGTCTTCCTACTTGCTTACATGTAACATTGTTGTTGGTGGGCATGTTGTTCTGATGATGCATATGCCTGCTTGTGCATATTGATGCTTGCACTGTGTCCGTTTCATTGGTAGCACAAGTGAGTGATTGTGATTATGATAATAAGTGCTGCTACTGTGTATATTTAGATGTTTTTCTTTTCTTTTTTTTTTCTTTACCGAAACTGTCCCTTCTCTTCTTTATATATAAATATATATATATAGCAGTAAGGATAGGTATGCGTTTAAACATTGATTAGCAGTCATTGTTATGCATCACATCATGCCCGTCTTTATTATTAGTATTTCGTCTCTTTTTTTTTTTTCTCTTGCTTGCTTACTACATAGTCTGGATCAATAATTTTTGTGATGCCAAAAGACTGAAGGAAAAAGAAAAGCAAAAACATTTTGGCGCTTATGTCCCACCGGAAATTTCAAGTCTCCTCAGCTAAGCTTTAAGGCTTCGGCTTTTTCTTCCACTTCTTTTTCGTTTCTTGTCTTTTAAAGATAATTATTGCCATCATATTTTTGTACGCTTGCGTGGTAATGGCATTTTCAGCCACAAAACATTACACTCTCGTTTATATGTATGGATGTGTGTGTGTGGGTAGGTACGTTTTAAAATGCATAAAACCCAGAAAAAATTTTTTAATCCTCATTAGTTTTAAAAACACGTTCTGTAGCCCTTTTTTGAAACAAGCATGTATACGCGTATGTGTGCTCATACATATGTACATATGATTGCTAGCTAAGCGAGTTAAACATAGGGGTTTCTTTTATATTATTTTATTTTGTTGTTATTGTTGTTGCTGTTGTTGTTGTTGTTTTCTTGCAATTTTGCTTGAATCCCTAACATATTACTTTAGGATCTCAAAATTTGTCAAATATAAGTTTGAATCAATCATGGCTCCTCTTCTTCTTCTTCTTCTTACACTCACTCCTCGTCTTAGTCTTCTTAACCATTGCCAACGTGATACAAAATACTTACGTACGAAAAGAAAACATTCTTTTAACAATCTTGAAGAATTTATGTATCACAAGTTTGGTAGCACAACTTGTTGCTGATGTTTCTGCGCATACGTATATGATGCATACAAGCACATGCACATGTCCAGCCTAATAATTCATTGGCAAATAAATACTCATTTACAGTTGCAAATATAGTTTGTTTTCAGTTCAGTTTCATTATCTTTTCTTTTATTTTTATTCATCAACAAAAACTTGTCATTATTTCTTGCTGTTATTGTTGTTGTTACTTTTCTGTTGTATAGATATCCGTAATTTTTATTTTTTTTTTTTTTGCTTTTTCTTTTTTCATTGGAATGTTTTTAAGCTTTGCTGCTTCTGTTCACCAAAAAAAAAAAAAAAACAAAAAAAAAAGTTGACATTTGCCTGTCTCATCATAACACAAACTCAACAGGTAGTCCTCAGTCTTCAAAAATCTCTGCAGTAAAAGATGTACACTTATTGTTGTTCTTGTTGTTGCCTTAGTCTCCAGTGATTTAAAAGTTTCGTTAATGTACGTGTTTTTATTTGACTTTCACAGATTTTGGTCGTTGGTTCATTTTTTTGTTTTTTTTTTGCGTTTTTTTTTTTTTTTTTTTATTTTGTTTTTCCATTGCCAAGTTCACAAAGGATGATGTATATGATGACGGTTTACAGAAAATGAAGAAATACTTGTACCAACTGGCTCTACTTGGAAGGAAACTATTTAATCCATCAATACCATTTACGGATCTTTTGAAATTTGGAATTTCAAGTTTACCTTTAGATATTCTAAGATCCCACCTTAAAACTTTGAAGCATGAATCTACGGTGAATGAATGTGATGGTAAACAATTGCTGCCTTTTTGATATTTAGTTTCACAAGATGCAAAACTAGACTGCGAATTGAAATAAATAAATTAAATTTGAGTTTTTTTGCTGTTGTGAATTTAAATATGACTGTGTCCGAAGGCACAGAATCTCAACGCACTCAAGTGCGGTAGAGTTTCTAACAAAACTACTAAAGACTTAGATGCTGACATTCTAAGACTTTACTCTTCGAACTTGTTACACTAACTAAATTAATAATAATGTTATCCGTTCCTTAGCTGCCCATTGCCTCGTCTTAAATCCAATTTTAATATGCTTGTAAATTCCACACCCCTCCCGCCCCTTTGCATCCATTTGGTTTTTCTTCTCCTTTTATTACTACCTTTGTAACCGTAGAGAGCAGTAGGCTGATGTTGAAAGCCGCACGATATGCAATTATCCCGCAGAAGAGAGATTATAACTTAAGTATGTGTGTAAATTGACTGAAGGGCTAATGATGCACTGCTGCCTTACTCTATAGTGTTCCTAGTAAGTTGATTCTGTTTTGATTCTTCAATCAGCGAGGTAGGGGTACATGATGTTGATCTTGGAAACTGTAATCGCGCTTCTAAAAGGTTAGACGATTGCGATCGAATGCCTTTGTAAAGGTAGACGATTTAAATTTTAGAGAGTGGAGAAAATAGAATTTTAGAAAAACATGACATCTCTTAATATGAAATTGAAAGAAAGCGTGCAAGCCACATGAAAATACATTAAACACTATATAACTTATACAACGGACAGTGCGGTAGTTAACATGCGACTTGACAAACGAACGCGGAATAGCGTATTTAACTCCAAGAGGTAAATACAGCATAGTGTACCAGAAATTTTTGCAGATTTATATTGTCCATCCGGAGGCCAAAGTTGAATTTGCGATTAAAGATTCGCCTCAAGGCATTGCATTGGGTCCACAAGATCAATGGAATACCTATTCCATAATTCAAATTGATAGAACCGGCTCGGGGAGAGTTGAAAACTAAGGCCTTGGCCTTACTTGTATTAATGAACAGCTTGCTTATTTAACGTCCAAGAGTTGATACTTGCTAAAGCTTCGTTAATCCAAGTTTCGAATATATGCAGTTAGTAGTGGGTATCTTTTAATAGGCAAATAACGCAAATAAAATCCCCTGTAGACAGAGAATTTACGTATTTACCAGCGCTTTGCGTACGGGTTTGATATATTGGATTAGTGAGTTTGATTGTTTCGAAGCAACGTAATTCTATTCAACCCATGGTAGGATCTGAAAAATAGGTCTAAGGTGCTGCAATTCTCATTAACCGTTACACATAAGAGACGAAATGGATTATACAGAAAATAACTAGTAAGAGTCTCAAAGGAACGTGCTGCTTGAGAACTCTAGGCCGGATGTTAAAAGAGGTGAGATAAAGCTCGGGTGGAAATAGCGCTCTTCGTACTCAACCACACTTCTTGTCCGACAAAGTATTTCAGCCACCATGACATTAAGCGAAGTACAAGATACATTAGTCATGAACTAAAGAATATCTTGGACCATAGAGAGTATACATTGTGTTTATCTAGCAGTTTTTGAAAACTTATCTGCGATCTCTTTTTCTGTTTTTGTTAAGCATACAAAGTATGCTGGCAAGCAAGGAACTCTTAAGAAATATATTACAAGTATGAGGATAATGAATGAGAGCATAGTTCTGCTATATAATCGGTTTGGCGTCAGTAAAGAAATCCTTTCGTGTGTAGTTATAGCGATCAATAGAGCTCTTGAGTATTCATCGAAGCCTATTACAAGAAAAATTTCTTGCTTTCAACACCAACTTTTTGACACAATTCCTTCGATCAATGGTACATCAGGCCGAGCATTAGAGTAAAGTCTCTTATCTGCAAGGCAAGCAGAATATAAATGCTTGCGATGAGATTCACCTTATTTTCTAATATCAAAACTTACGGTTTGAGAAGAAAGCATCTTCGCTACCGCTTTTAAGCGAATAGAAAATCTTTCCGTTTAGTCGTAAATAAAAGCCTTTGCATACCTGATGGCAAATCATTAATAGAAGTGGTCAATTACAAAACAATTTCTTTAAAACGTATTGAATATGTATTTCGAACGACTTGGATCTCAGCGAATCTTTCAAGAATCGCTCTTTTTCGTATCAATAGCTATGTTTTCGCACAAAGAGTCCTAAACGATTTTAGTTTTGACAAATATTTTATAAAATTCTTTGCAAGTGCACAGCTTGCTTAGAGATTGTAGGCTACTAGGTTCGTCTGGAATTCCTGCTAATAAGACCATCGAAGTGAAGGAGGTTGAATTAAAATTCTCTCAATTATATGAACGAATCCCTGATCAGTCCTTTTGTATTACAGAATCTCTTTTTGAATTGTTTGCTTAATTCGCAAAGTGAGCTGCTTCTCCAAAAATCTCTCTTATCCGTGTAGTTTGTAGTTCACTTCACTATTCACAAGTTCATTTTGAATGCTGCTGATAAAAAGCCTCTTGTCTCTAATGAGGTCAATCATCAAGAAACAAAGATTTGTGATTGCTTTCGCTTCATGTAACATTACTTGCAAAGTTTGTCGTCTGTCTGCAGACGTATTTCACTTATTTCGTGCCTTGCACTCCCTTCGGTTATTTGATTTCACAAATTATGCCTGCTTTGACGATTTTTTGACAATTGAGGATCAAAAATGAGAAATCTTTAAATATTTTGTGTATTAGCAGGTACCCATTACGTTCATTGATACACTTCCAATTAACGAACAACCACGATTATATTATATTATACATATGCATATATATATATATATATATACGAAACTGGTCATAAGATAGGCATACTTACTTCACAATAGCCAATTTTGTAGCACATAACAAGAAGGGAGAAAATGCTAATGAAAATAAAAATGTTATGTTTTTTTTGTTCTGTTGCAGAGTCAAGCCTTAGCACTGACACGTGTTGCCAATGCAGCTGCCGCTGCAGCCGCCAATGCTGCAAATACCAAAACTCCGACGGATAATCTGCACTCAGAGGTTGTAGTGAAGAAGGAACATTCGCCCTCACCATCGCATTCGCGACACACGCCTATCAATAATGCTGTACCATCGACATCATTGGCCAGTAATACCACACACGTACCAAATGACGGTTCGCCGCCCACTCCTGTACAACAGCATCGAAGAAATTCATTACAAGGTGTGCAGGATAAGTTAGCGCAATTACATCAATTGCAGCAGCAGCAGCAGCAGCAACAGCAGCAGCAACAACAACAGCAGCAGCAACAGCAGCAGCAACAACAAAACAGTAACAACGAAGAGCAACGTAGTCCACGTTATGCATCCGGTGGTCTTTCTACACACACGACGACGCCATCACCGCATGCGAGTGAGGTGGCGAGTACAACAACGACCACAGCCACATCTAGTCAGCATAGCACTACACCAAAACTTTCCGATCGTGATGATCGTTCCGATCATACACCTCGAATATCCATCGGTAGTATAACATGTTTGCCGCCATCAGCTTTGAATGCCGTCGCAGCCGCAGCTGCGGCCACATCTGGCCATCAAACACAAAGTTCCTCAGCAGCCGCCACGCTATCCACAAATCCACATAACGAAAAGCTATTAAGCTCGCCAGCATCAGCAGCTGCAGCCGCGGCTGCTGCCGCAGCAGCTATGGAAAATCGTCGCGATTTTGATGTTTCTAAAGTCAATTGTAAGTACATTTGTTTTCGTTATTAAAGCGCATGAAATTATCCCTTAAACATGTATCTCATGCCGACGAAGCAATCGATTCGTTTTTCGCACAAAAGAATAAAATCCGTTTCCTTTCGTTTGCTGGCGTACCAAATAAGGGTTAAATCAATTTTAATCTCCCAACTTGAAAACAACTCATTGCTCTTATACGTGTAAATACAAAAGCGAACTTACCTTCCTTGCTAGCAATTAATCCATTGGTCCTTTCAATAACTGTTGGCATACGAATTGAAAGAGAAGCTTAAAGTATTAAGAGGATTAATTTTCTATAGTAATATGAAAATATGCATAGAAACGCAATCATTATAATCAACGGAGTAGACAGACAAACTGATAATTTGTGGAATTTTAAAACTATTTTATATACGAAAGATTATATCAAGTAAATAACGTTATTTTACGTTGGATTACATTTTAAATGTGGCAGATCAAGTTTTTCCCAATTTCCCCGAAGCATTGCAGTACATTGAAAAAAAAAAAAGAGATTAAAAATCATCAATTTAAAAGCTCACTTAGCATAGTGCGTCATCAATATTGTAAACGTTCCAAAAAAAAAAAAAAAAAATTATTATATGAAACAAGAGCACACTGTAGCATATGCCCGCTAAATATGTGAAAATTCATTTATGCACTTCAGTCACTTCAGTCTTTTTATGAGAGCTTGGGTTTTCTCAATGCTCGAAAGTATGAATATTTTGGCTACAGGAACGAAGGCTTCTAACAGGATCTCGCAATCCTCCGTTTAAATGGAGCGATCAGTTTAAGTGCTAAATACCTCGTAGCAGCTTGACATAAAGCCAGATTGAAGTAATAAATTTCTGTACTAATTTCTCATGATCTTCGTTTCTGGATTATCACGGTGTTGCAGAGCCTAATTTCTCTAGCGATTACCCCCCTTAATCCGATGATCTGAATGTTTTTGTTAAACTTTTCGTAGCACTGCATAGCGGCAGCAAAGGCCTACAACTTTCGCTTGGGGTTCATTTTTAGGGAAAAAGAGCTTTCAGCTAAATACGCCCAGTTTGCACAGCAGTTTTAGATATTTATGCTGCCGCATAGCCGGCAAAATAGGAGTTGTGACTACCAAATCAGTGTTCAATCTCCGTGGCGTTTGACTTGGCCGTAGCTGTAACTAGGGCTCAGTCGGTCAAGGAATAACACTTTACCGATTCGATACTCTGTTGCGGCTACTACCTATCACTTTCTTCCTCTTCATTTCTTTCTAATCGTCATCGTTTTTTATCAATAAGAAACATTCGCTGTTATAATAACCAAAAACTACTCAACGAATATTCGCTCACTATAACTAAGGCGAAGTAGGCTCTACTAGTGTGAGATTTGAATCTGCCAACTCTGGATTGGCGGTTGCTTTTATAAACTTGTGCAGTTTTCACCAGTGCAGTGCGTTACTTAAAAAGCTATTCCCAGCAATTATATACCATAGCTCATGACTTATGTAATAAGAACTGTGAGAAGTGTGAGCGAATTTTTCAAAGCGACATTAGAGAGTGGATTGAGTAAGGTTTTTTTGAATTAAAGAAGATACCCTCAAACAGATTAAACCTATTCATCTAGGATGTGGTTTTTCAGGTAGACAATAAAAACCTCTTTAGGATTATCATCATTCGTCAGCCAAACTTGGCATTAAATTACATTTTGCTAGAGTGCTTGCCTTTTTTATAAACTTGATTTAGAAGAAATGATTTCTATCAGTATCGATGTGTTTGTTGTTGTATGGCAATAGTAGAGATGCTTGTCTTTTGCACTTAATTTTTCCATCACTGGGGACAACTACTAACAACATCTAACAAAATTAAGCCGATTGCTAAACTTTTATATGCGAAAAGGGTGGAATTTTCGGCGTAATGACGCTCAGCAGGACGGAAAAGCAATGTGCTATCTTTTCCTCTCATTCCATCAGATGCACGTTCTATTGATTAACACCTGATTTATTATCTGGCTGAACAGTGCTTTCATGCTTATAATGATTTTTAGAAAAGAGATATTCGGGTGGAAAAACTTCAAATGTTGTCCTTTAGACAACGAATTTATATACTGAAATAGCGCTTAGCTAACGATGGATAATTCTATGAATAAAACATATTTCCTTAGTTAACATCAAATTTTTGTTTCCGTAAAAAGTTGGCCACAACTTGTTTGCACTTCTAATAAAATCGTTTATTATAAAAATGCAAGTAAATATTTTTCATATTAAAGCAAGTGAAAACATGAAGAATGGCCGATGATCTGTGCCTTTACCTACCCTACAGCACTGCGTTTATTACAACTTTTTATATAACAACCTTCCGAAGTAAGGCTTTATCGCGGAAATGGTTCCGATCTAAATCATCTTCCATAGCTTGCGTTCGCCGGACTATCAAATTTGGTGAAAACATCGTAACCATTGCGACTTTCAAGGCGGGTGGATGGACAGACAAGCCTAGATCCGTTCAGAAAGTGATTTCGAATCCTTAGTAAAACGTGGCTCTATCTCAATTTCTTCTCCGTACAAGTTTAATATGCGCTTGTAGCATAAATGATGTAAGCTATGAAAAGCTTAAAAATTTTTCGAACAGAGTTAATCTGTTCATATATCATGCGATTGTTTTATGAACCATGACCTAGGTAAGCGACGTTGTTCGTGCAGTCTGTGTGCATGTGAGCACATTTTTGGAAATGGAAATGTCACATACTCTGAAGATTGCTACAAATTAATGTAATTCCGAAAGAAATGTGAAAATTATCCGCACATAATTTTTATGTGAAACTTGGCCGTCGAATTGTGTTCGCTGCAATATTTATCAAAAAATTCATCCATAATCAATCAAATTTCTGGGCTAAGCGTACAAAACACGCATTAACTAACTGTAAAAGAGACGAATAGTCGTAGAGTGTAATTTAGTAGGTAAATGTACTTCGCGGCGCACACATGTACACCTTTAACTTTTCAGAAAATTTTTCTACATTTATACACACATATCATATGTATGAATGTGTGCGCACAGATTTACACCAAATTTTAAGTCATACTCTGAGAAACATATATATAACGATAATATAGTGGGCGAGTGACAGAGAGAGAGAGAGAGAGAGAGGAGCAGCGAGAGGAAGAGGTTATGCCAACACAAGCTTGCACACGCAGAAGCATTGAATATATTGACATTTGAAAATACGCGATACGCACATGTTTTCAATCAATATAGTAAACACACTTGCACATCATATGCATTAGCATTAGAATGGTGAAATGAATGGTACTGAGGGTGTAATTGCAGTGTGCGATGCAGAGCAGAAGTGTAACAAAAATTTTCAAAGCAACAGGAAACTAAAATACGTATAATAAGCAAAAGGGATTTAAAACGACAAAAATCCTCTTGGCACACAAATAAATGTGTGAGTATGTAAATATTCATGTGTTTGTATTGGAGAATGAGTTTAGAAGGAACACATACAAGAGGACAGATTTTATAACAATGTATATATATAACCTCTATGTATATATATATGTATATATATGTATATATATGTATATATATATGTATATACGTATGTATATATGTATGTGTTATATATGGCGAAAATTTATCTATGCAATGATACAAATTTTAAAGGATTCGCACATTTGTTACTCATACACACGTAAGTGCACAAACTAATAGATAAACAAACACGCACATATATATTTATATGCATGTATGTATGTATATATTTATAGATGTATGTCTGTATATATGTATATGCATAACACAGAGCATATGTTAGAGATTGTGTCAGAAACAAGTGCATGTACGTTAGTAAACATAGAAAATCCTTAATCCATGCTCGAACCTGTACTTGTACTTAGACGTACCACCGACACATAGTCAAACAGCTGCTTTTCACTAGTAAATGTATATTGTTCAATACAAGTCATATATATCCACATTGAATATATATATGTTTTAGAGATCGTATGTCTGTGCAGTTATTTGATAGTAAACTAAAATAAGTTTTGTGCAAAGCTTCAATTTACCAAAGAAAACAAGTCTCAAATGCACCTGAAAAGATTCAATGACACACACACACACACACACACGCACAGAACAAAACATATGAAAATCGTTTAGAATGCTCATATAAATGTGTTTATAGTGTGCATAAAGACATAGGCATGCAATCGCACATAAGTCCATCCATACTTGTGCGTTAGTATTAGCACAATTTTGTTGCAGGTGAATATGCATTCGAATGAATAACGTATCTATCTCTTTACTTTCCTCTACTTTCCCAATAGGGTGTTGTGCGTATTATAAACGGATTAAAATTTCTAATACTATTGGAGTTATTTGTATCAAAACAAAAACTAACTTTCTTCTGTTATCCTTTCGCCTTCTCCCCTCTCTCTCTCTCTCTCTCTCCCTTTCTTTCTCACTCATTCAATGTCTGCCTTTATCAAGGCATTCCACATAATAATATTCTATCACCTAAAATAACATAGATTTTTGAATGTATGTAAATAAGTAAGTGTTTAGAAAATGCAACAAATTTTGTTTAGAATTTAGCACAAGCCCAGCCTAATTCCCTTATTCATCTTTAGCAATGCATCGCAGCAGCAGCATTAGTACAGTGCAAAACGATACATAACCTATACGTAAAGCCTATATGATGAAATTTCCCATATACTTAGGTATTTAAATTTCCAAAAATTTCCCAAATATTGCATAATACACAGATTTATCTTATGGCATTTTCTTGTAAATAAAGTCAAAGAAAGAGAAGTGTGGAGACGCGCAGGAAAAGTTCGAGTCAGAGTTTCATTTTAATTGTAAATATGTCTTCCTGAAGGATCAGCTGCAAGCACATGTGCCTCACTACTAAAACTCTACTCTATTCGAGAAAAGAACACTTTACAGCTAACTTTCACAAACGATTACATATCAAAATTTCTCCTAGTTATGCATACATAGACGAAAGCCTGAGTTAAACACACATACACTTGCTTCAGCCGTGCCTCTTGCATTTTACATAT